ACTGGTAATTCATGTTTCACCCCATACTTAAGCTTTTTAAGGGAACACTAAATTTCTGTAAGAAAGCTAATTTCAAGGGGTAATAATAACATCGTTTACATGTGAATTATGATTTTTTTAAATTACTGCTAGTTAATAATACTTATAAAAGTGGATACTTGATTTGAAACTATGTCACCTCAGTGAAATTGGTTGATACCATTGTTTTGCTTTTTGAGTTATCATGTAATAAAAAGAAGCAGAAGAAAGAAGAACAATAAATTCAAACTTTTTGCTATGATATTTACAGACATTTCCAGAACTTGTGACTCAATTTTTACATAGATACTGTTATAAAAGGAAACACTGTGTAGTATTGTGTATTCTGATGATCTATTGAAAAGATATTTAAAATATCATTTGGATGAACATCCCTACATAGGCAGTGCTACTGCCTGCCTGATATTATTATTTTTTATTAAGGATTTAAGATAACCAATAATGAAATATTTACTTGTATTTGGTAATATACTGCAGTATGTATGCAAGCTATCACAAGTATCATTGTTTTTAGATTCTAATGCTGTGTTCTCTGATATAAACATATTACTGTAGTCTTGTCATACCACTGTGATTGAAAATATTTTAATGAAGCAGTACTCATATAATGGGAGTATTTGCATTACTTATTTTTGATATAGTGTATTAAGATTTATTTCAGCACATAAACATATTCATATTGTGTTTACAATCCAACAAGATTTAATGGCTATCTTCCAATTTACCCAGTTTGCCCCTAAAGAAGAAAGGTCCACCTTTCAAAAATGCTCGGGTTATAGAGTTTTTATTTATTTATTCCAATTTACTAAGATGTTTTAAGATAAGTTTTAGATTGAGTCTTGAATGCATTTTTGTTTTTTGTTGTGCAACTTTTAATAATGCTTGTGAATATATAATCATAATATTGTTGAAATATTGATTTTTAATATATCATGACTAAGAACTATGTATTTAAAAGTATAGTAAGAATGCAATATTAAACTATCAAAATATCTGTTTGCAGTGTATTACTTTTACAACACCAAGAAAGAAAAGATGCACACAAAAACAGCAGAAAAGGGCAAAAGTTTTCAAACCTGGATGACAGACACTGTTGCAGAATGGAATGTAGAATAAAAATATTTTCTGTTTGTTATATCTTTTTACAGGTATAATAATTATTGTAATTAGAAAACAAGCATTTTTATTGGTGGATGATAAATAATCTGCCACAAATATCATGAATCAGTGTAAAACATTGTATAGCAGTCATCTCAAGTAAAAATATTTTACAGTTACTGATTTAATGTATTGTATATATTGTATGATATTTTATTTAAATAAATAGGTCTTCCTTTAACATCGTCAAAATACTGTTTGTTTAGTTTATTCCATATGATCCTCGTTTGTTTGCTCATTTTAAAATCCAATAAATTATTCTAAGAAACCATGAGTAAAAGCAAAGAAGAATATAATGTCAACCATAATATATCTGAATATCCAGTGCCACCAAGAGCCTTTCATTCAATACAAGGGCTCATCGGAATGTATGGGAAACACAAACATGGTAGTTGTCTAAGTGATATATATATGTATGTGTGTGTGTGTGTGTGTAATAGAGATTCATGGACAATATTATGGTGTGAACCAGATTAAGCAAGTGAGTTGCAATTATCATCAATTTTATTTAAGTCATTTACAAATTATTTTTTGGGGGAAAGAATTGATAACAATGTAGTTTTATTTCTATTTTAACACCAGTTATTTATTTATATTCAATATTATTATTAACTTTCATTCACAAGAAGTTGATATAATAGTTTATATTTTTCTCTGATTTCAGTGTTTGAGTTATAGCAGAACACGACCAAATTATATTCTAGCACTTATGTTGATGGCTAGAATGACATTCTGGCATATTTTTTTTTGTAAGTGAATGGTCTACAAAGGTTCTAAACATTATGATTCATTTCCAAAAAAAATTTATTGGTTTCACAGATCTAACTGTAAAGTATTTCTCTTCCTGATTGTCAAATTCCCACAAACAGAGAAAAATGCACACTATTCATGCCTCAGAGGCAGGTGTTGCTTTAAAGTCTTGCCCTAATTTGGATATTCTTTGATAAGCATATTGAAACAAAACAACAACAAAAAGAAAAGTTGTACATAAACACAACTTTATATGTCAGTGGTTTAGTAAGTACAGTGTGTAAGGATGCAGAATAAATTTAGGCAACCCTGACTTAAAAAACACTTAAAAAGTATTTCTTTCTTTTCCAATTCATAAGAGTGAAAATGAAGGCTATTGACTAAAAGGATCTTACTCCCCTTGTGATTTTACTGGACCCAAGACAGCCCTATTGCTCAGGAATTATTCAAAGAATAAAACTACACAGCCAAATATTGTAATAAATTATATAGTAAATTCTAGATAGCATTATATTATTTCAGCAACAGTTAAAAATTAGCTAAAAATAATTTTCTTCCGTCAGTGAAAAATTAAAATAATAAGTAAATGAAATATACTAAAACTTAAAAAATGTTTAAAACTTATGACATTGGATAGACTATGGTTTCGGTTTGAAAGACATTTTTTACTATTTCATCCACCATTACTGTCATAAAATTGATCAGCTGATTGTATTGTACATTAGATCTGTGTTACAAGGGCATAAATAATAATAACCCAATGCACCTTGGTTGTAACAGAGCAAACAAGAGAAGTATACACAGTACAGACTTGCCCTTTGCTCATCATTGGTGTGTTTCAGTTCATTTAAAAAAATTTTCAAATCCAATGTTTATCGAGTGTAAATGTAAATTGAATCATATTTACAAAAAATGTCTTGAATATATAATATATTAACAAAAATACCTAATGTTTCATTCAGCTTCATGTGCTGCAACATTTCATAAAGTAATTGCTTAATTGCATAATCCTATAGGCTTTCTTTCTTTTTGTTGGGACTCAAGTACTGTCCATATTGATAATGATTATAGTATTTCATAAATGTGATGAATGATACATTTTTTTAGTTGATTCAGAATCTTAATGGTATCTTTAAATAACTTTTTTGTAACCATCCTGGTCTTATTAAGGTGTTACATCTGTGCTTGTACCCCTAGCATCGGTGTTTAGAATGTGTGGATGTCTTGTTAGTTGCAGGCTTGTCAGAACAGTTCTTCTTAAATGTGGTTTTGTGGCATGGGAATCTTCTTTCGTTAGAACCAAAAATCAAATACAGTTAATTTAACATACTGTTCTTGCATTTTTATAATGATTAGAATGAATTATTTCATCATTTGAGTACCCTAGCTGATAGCTGTAATGTCAGTAATATGGCACAAGATTTGATCAGATTAGGTGATTTATTTTAGTCTTAAAACCATATATTAAGTTAAAAATACATAGCAATCTTTATAATAGCTATACATGTATATGTAATATTAATAAAATATAAAGAGATATGTTAAACAATCTAATCCATACTGTTAATTAAAATAACATTAACTCCTTCACTGTGGCTGAGTAGTGTTTATTCCCTCTGTATATTATTGTTATTTTGTAATATTTTTAATAATGTTGCAGTTTTTCCTATATACATATTTCCAAAGCTATTACAACAGATTTATGATTCCACAATAGAATCCATTTTGTTAAATCATATTCATTCGTCTTTTAGTAGCATTTAAAATAATTTGCATAACATTTTTAGGCATTTGTTGTCAATTACATAATTTATTTATCTTGATAAATGTACATGCAGCACACACTGTACAGGCATCCAGAATATAAAACTTAGAGCATTCTGACACTTGCTGCTTTATTTTTTATGGGATGATAAGAACATACACTTTTTTGTTTTATTTATAAGTTATCATGGTTAAGCAGTAATATTCAGCTGCAAAAGTAAAGCAGTATGTTGGAGAAGCCCCAGGATTTATTCCAAAACTTTTTTGAAAACATGTTATCTTACTGAAGATACGATGTAGCCACATGAGAACTACACAACATAACCACTAGAAAACTTAGGGATTTCCCTAGTGTACTTTATTTGCATAGCCAAAACAGATACATCTATGTAGGGATATAGGGAAGGTGGGTTAGTACATGCCAAATAATTATGGCACAATGCATGCATACAAAGAGATACCATGGTCTGTGGCACAATGCAGCAAAAGATTTAAAAATGAATATAACTTGTGAAATAGACTGGCATACTAGGTATTTTCTACCTCCTTTATCACATGAAAATTTTTCAAAATTTTCATTTTTATGTATATAAGTACATGTAAGTTTAATACAAAACTTTCATCAAGAAAATTACTAAGTTCCTTTTGTTCTAGTTAACCTATTTTTTCTTGGTTATTCCTAAATGGTAACACATTAACTTTCTCATGGGAAAGATTGCTGTAAAGTGAAACATTGTGTAAAGGCAGACATTAATCTTCCACTGGTGGGTCATGGTACCTTAATTGAGGAGCATCATCCCCTGTTTTCCTATCAGAATGACTAACAGTGATGTAAGCAGCACACATGCTCAGAGAGGGGCGACATTATGGAATTTTGTACATAATGCTATGCTCTATCAGTCCTAGTTGTCTCTCTATCTATCTATCTAAAGCCCTCAATCTGGTAAGTAAAGTTTCAGTTTTTTGTTTAACTACTATAATTATCTCCTAAGTTTAACAAGTAAATTTAACTAGCTAATTCTCCATAAGGAGAGTTTTGAGAGTTAATGATTCAGTAAAGGTGATGTATTGTACACTTGTAAATTTTGATAAGAGTTTAAGCATTGAATAAAGATTGTTCTCACTGTGCTTTTCTTGAGCCCAGTCTCCTTCTCCAAGTCAGTCAAAAGGAAGATAACTCAGTTAAACTTTGCAATAAATTTTAACAACAATTTCACAGATGATCATAATTCATTAGTTTGGGGGTTTTGCTACTTGCTTAAAATTAATAGATAAAGTTTTTTTGACGGAAAGACTTTTTTCATTATTATTTCTTGTCGTGTTCTTGAACTGATCATTCTTTATTTCTACATGCAACATGCTCTTTTAGTTTTACACTTCATTTGCATGTTTTCATAATAGCTATATTGTGGTAGGTCCTATATACGAGCATCACTAAACAAAGACAAGTAAATTCATAAACAGTATTAAATATTTTTTGTACAGAAATCTTATCTTTAAATAACAAAAAATCACAATCTCAAATAAATATTAAGAAAATATTTATCCATCTTGTACTAGAGAAGTGGAAAAAATAAGATGTTTATTGAAAAAGAATGATATTTCTGTTTATAAAATAGACATGATGATAAAAATAATTAAAAAAAAGAGTTCAAATATTGAAATAACAGATCATAAATGTTCCAAAACTATTGATACTAAAGGTATTGCTATTTACTTTTAAGTTCTCGCATTAGAATTGTGTTGTGTTAGGCATTCACCTACCAAGGCCCCTCAGTGGTACAGCGGTATGTCTGCGGACTTGTAACGCTAGAATCCGGGTTTCGATACCCGTGGTGGGCAGAGCACAGATAGCCCATTGTATAGCTTTGTGCTTAATTACAAACAATCACCTACCAAGAATGATGTTTGGCTTCATTTCTTGCTTACTTGATACCATAATGGAAGGGAAAAGAAGTGAATTAGCGACAAACGAAGACAGTTGATTTTTACACTTCTTGGTACCAAAATTTTTTAAATCCCCTACTTTATAACGTCGCTTTATTAAGAGTTCCACCAAGAAAACATCTCAAGGTTTTAGTCAAAGATGGCGATTATCCACAAAGACATTGAATTTGTAAAAAAATGTTTGTCAGATATATTTCATTTATAATCATTCTACCATTTTACATTTTGTTTTCTTTATATACAATAATTCTATATTCTGGTTAGTAGGTTTTTGTTTCATGTCAAAAATTAAATAATAGGTTGAACAATCGCTAAGTTTTTATATTTTTATTTAAAGGAGGATGACGTTTCGAGCTATCACTCTTCGTCCGAGTCAGATCGTACATTTTTACAACAAAAGCGCATGTGCAGAATTCAAAGAAATTGCGTGCGTGTGTAGTATTTGGAATGTTGAGCGTGAAATTTCTGTGCAAAATTACACCTCAATTACATAAAAATTACAAGTCATGAAAAGATAAAACAGGTAGCAATTAAGATTTAAACAAGAAATAGAAAAATAGAAATCTACAAGAAAGAATAATATTGATTTAAACCAG